TTTCCCCTGCCCCCCCCTCCTCCCCTCCTTCCACCCCGTCCTCCCGCCACCCTCCTCCTCCCCCTCTTTCCCTTTACACTCTCCTGCGCGTTCCTTTGTCTCTGCATGTTCTGTTTTTAGCTGTTCTCTGAGTGCTGAAAATCTCAGCTCCTGCCCTTTCCTTCCTGCTGGTTTGCCCGCCCACCTTTCCTGTTCCCGGTTCCTCACTCAAAGATGCTCTGGCAGGAAAGAACAGCACTGATGCAAAGTTACAACTTTCCGTGCTCTCCTGGCCCTCAGAAGCCGAGGCGGGCGGCGTAGCGTTAAAACCACGATATTGCACCGTTGAATGCAAAGCGCGGACAAGGTTTATTCTGCATGGCATGGGCTGCCAGTCGTAACTAAGGATAACCACTGTCAAGCCAGCAGTCTGCACCCTACAGCCTCCGCCCGCGGCTTGGCCGACTCTTCGTCAGCAGCCGCCTGCCACGCTTCCACAAACCCCCTGCAAACAAACAGAGGGAGAGATATAGCAGCCCTGATACAGTAACAGGAACCTTGAAGGGAACCTCCACACTATTCCATAAAAGAGCCCCAAGAGATGGAGAGGGGAACATGGCGACCGCCCAGCAATCGGGCAGTTTAGGGCTGCCTGTCCTCCTCGCCGCAGTGCGAGTGTTCATCAATGAAAGTCGTCAAAGCCACAGCTCGGGCTCGCTTACACGAGGTGGAATTTGTTTGTTCCATATCACAAATTCTGTGCACAGGTTGTGGCACCGATTCAAGGGGTTTAAGTCAGGGCCGAAAGGAAAATATCTTCGAGTTCTGGTCGTTGAGGCGTTGGGCTTGCGGAGTAGATGTAGGACTTCGTTAGGAAGTCCCGGTTCATGCTTGGGATGTGTACTACGAGCTTGAGCTGGGATAGTAATAGTGGGTCATGGATGGGAGAGCACGGTGTAGTGCAGCATGATGCTCGGGTTGAAGATGTGTGTGTCTGTGTGGGTGGTGCCCGGTTTCAGCCTTGATTAGATTGCCCTGACATAGGTTAAGTCAAAGCCGCACCAACCGTGCAGGCTCTGGAAGACTGTGACCGAGATGCCCGCGCGAGGTTTAACACAATTACTCACAGCGGGAACTGGTGCCTGCGGTTGCCTTGCCACCACAGTGCGCAGCAGCTCCTTGAAGAGCTTCATGCGCCTCAAGTTGGCAGCTCGCCGAAAAGTTCGCAGGGCGAGGCTTAAGGCCAGTGCTCGAGGCGCTCTGGCGCGAGCTCATAAGGCTTCGCCACGGCCTGAACAAAACGAGACGTGCTGCTCATGCTTCTGAAAGAACATGCACATTGCGACCCAACAAGGTCCGAGATCCACAAGGTCAACATCGCAAAGCTTGCACCACGACTCGACACACGGATTCTGCTTCCACTCATGATGAACGACGAAGTTACTGGTATCAGCTTTCTACAGCTACAAAACCCACAACTTCACAAGACTTGCCTTGATGTACTGCAGTTCTTGGACCTCAGCAGACACAAGCGTGTCTTCGTGCGCCACGCGAGGGCTCAAGGCTCCGCTTGGCGATCGAACAGCTGCTCGTCAGGACATCCTCCGTGCTAGTCTCGAAAGCCGACCGGGTTGTCATGCAAAGGCTTCTGGCTTTAGGTTGAGGGATCGGCCATACGAACGGTTTCGTTAACATGCCGGCGAGTCAACTGATGCTTCGAAAGATGAGAATTGCAGAGCGAAATTTCGCTTCTCCATGCGACACGTCCGTTCCACTGGGATGTGGTGTTGCGCTCCAGGACCATGATCAGCCCACTGCTCCACCCCACTGCTCCAGCTCCCTGGTCTGAGGGTCCAGCCACCCGCGGTGGCCTCATCTGCTCGCGCCTGAGCTTCTCCAGCTCCTGCGCAGTGCAGCACTGCTCTCAAGCCCAAGCCAGAAAGCGTTCAAAGTACTCCAGGGCCTAACGCTGGCGGGAATATCATGCATTGCCTTCATGTATTGTTGAATTCAGACGAACTCAACCCTGAGCATGTGCACTGCAAGATTCATGTTCAAGCAAATTAACTTATCAAATTAATGGTGTCTGAGCCGATACTGTCCGTTCTGAGGGCAGACTGGGAAAGCAAGCTAGTAAAACTTGTGCTTTGACAAGGCACCGAAAAGAGCTACTTTGTGAACTATCATCTGCCCAGGACGCGACGACAAACAGAGAGAAGGCACGGAGACATGTTTACAACGAAGAGCTTGGCAATAGAAACTCGCAAGTTGATCGATGTTGTGTTGGCTCTGACTATCATGCTTCAAACCGTACACCCCGAAGTCTGCTCCGCTTTCGAAACACGGACGCGCAAGCCACAGCTAAAGACTGACGCCCAGAGGCCGCAGATCTTTCTCAACAAAAGAGTCTTGAGAATCACAGCTTCTTCTCGCGACAGCATACCGCAATGACCGACCTGTTCCCTTCAGGACCCCAAAACGCAGAGGCCCACTCAGCAACCGGCCACCCACTCGGGATGTATCTTCTCACGCCAGAAGGGCTCCAGTTCCTGGTGAGGAAGAGGATGGCGAAGAGAGGGAATGGCAGTTTCAACAATGTTGCCCCGCCACTCACTGAAGACCTGTTGACCCCGGAGCTTACAGCCACAGCGACACGATCAGGTTGTGAGAGGCTCTATCCCTTAACTGCACACAGCACACCCAAAGACAAAGAAACGAGAAACAACACACAGTCTCTTCCTTCCTCCCTCTCTTTTTTGGCATGGACTTGCCGCAGTCTTGCACGTGCTCACGGCCAGAACTTTTTGTGGAAGAAGAGGCAGAGCTCGCTGAGATTGGAGTGGGATGAGTGGAGCGCTCTCATGAAGAAGTTAGCAGCTACCACAAGCCGATTGAAACCGTATGCCCGAAACAGAGATGACAAGGGTAGTAAATAAGAAAGAAGTTGCGATTGCACAACTGAATCCAACTGCTCTGCAAACTGCTGAACGTGGACTGAACTAAATGCTTTGTTGCCGTTGCTTACTGATCTTACTGCATTCAAGACTTAGCCCAATCCTCCAAACGCTTCACAAAACAGTCTGCCATGCAGAGCAACTTCCCCAGCGAATACTGGCCCGCGCTTCTGACAATCAGCCCTTCGCACTGCTAAGGCACTGCTAAGGACCGAACAGCAGACGAGTCCGACGGTGGACTTCCGGCCTTAGAGACTCGCTGCTTTTTGTGCTCGAACTCGAACCCTTAATTCGTCTTCCTAATCGTCACTTTCTACTTGACCTTTCTGATTCTTATAGCTTGCCAAAACTATGAATGGCAGCAGCTGCAAGTGCCCAGCAGTTGATACGATGATAGTACATGTAACTCACCGTGGCGACTGAAGCGGCCTCACAGCCCGAGCTGCCGTGTTTGGATGTACTCTGCCATGCTTCGATTTGCCTTCTGAGCGTCTGTGGAATAGCTGCGCAAGACATGCGATAAAAAGACGCACTTGTCAACTGAAACTCAGTAAGAACAGTTTCCCCGAAGAGGCCTGCAGAGGCCCTGAGCGCCCCAGATCGCCCCAGTGCCGGATTCTCGGATGCAGGCTGGGCTGGCAGTCGATGAAGACGCTGGCGACAAGCAGAGCTGAGGAGGCCCACCTCACGTGCTTGCAATGTGCAGGGATGCTTGGGCTGCTTGGACATGAAGACGGGTTGCAACAATCTAATCCGCCGAACATCCAGGTCTAGGGAACATAACCATAGTTATCCCACTTAGAACCCTACTTATAACTACCCCCATGAACCTCCAAGTTGGGGCCCTTCGTGCAACGCCGACCCGGTGCCTAATTCGACTTTGGGACAGGCGCACTGCCCAGAGACTCCACAGTAGTTCCGTGTTGCGATTACCGTATAGGATGCTCAATATGAGCCGCCAAAAACAACTACTATGGAGCCTCAGGGTAGTACTTGGTGTTGGCAGCGAGAGGATAAGCGTGAAGTCTGTGGCAGGGCTGAACTTTGCACTATATTGCCGATGTGCGGAGGCGTGAAACCCAGAGATTGTCAGCTGCCGATGCTATCATGGTTTGCCTTGTGTTTTCGCTAGGAGGTGCTTTTAAAGCCTTTGAAAAATGTTACGAGGTAAGATCCTCTGAAACCCAATAAGAGCAAATATAGAATGTCCCAAAGCCCTACCTAGTTTCGGCATTGGTAGGGTCTGGGGTCGGGGGCTGGGGGTTTTCGGTTTAAGGTTTATGTGGCTTGGTTTAGGAAGTTGTGCTGCGGGTGCGGAGCGCGTGCTGGGTTTAGTGTTTGGGCCTTCGGTCTATTTAGAAATTTAGCCTCAGATATCCCTTGGACCAGCCCGCTCTGGCATTGGTTGCCTTTGTGCACGCACGGATGACTGCTTAGAGAGTCGTCCTACCTTGTCAGCTAAGGCTCGATACCCGAAACCTCCAACCACTGCAAAGCCTAGACCTCGATGCTGCATCCGGGATCCCATGCCTCAAACCCTTACGAACGAAAGCCGAAGCTTGAAACCGAGTTTTGGGGACAGATCAGCTAATGATGATATTCCCTTCTTGTCCCGAGCGCTTCTTGCTGAGGTTGCCAGATATTCTGACTGTAGAGACATGCAGCATATCTTATGTTACCGGAACGCAGCTTGGACGAGGACAACGAGATGGGGTTCTTCAAGCTAACCTAAACCCTAAACCCCTGAACAAACCCTACACCCCTAAACCCCAAACCAGAAACCCTTTAACCTCAGCCTGCTTCAGTCCTAAGCCTGTTCCTAAACCCCAAAATTCTTGAACACCCATCAGGCCCATCAGGACATCCAGCACTGAAGGGTCTCTCGTCTTTGGGGGTTTGGAGTGTCCGACCTCAAGATGCCACAGCCCACGGTTTTGGGGGCTCAAGACTGCATTATAGTATACTATACTATCTCATATGGTATATTAAAATATGATATAGTCTGTTATAGTATATTATAGTCAATTACAGTAGTATACTATAGAGTATATTGGTTGCACTCCCCACCTGCGGCGCAGTAGAGGCCTTCTGGGCACGTCTGGCAGCCAACTCCATTGCACATATACATGCCTCATGCAGGTTTGGCGCTTCAGGCGTTTAGGGTTTAGGGTTTAGGGGTCGTTTCAGGGTTGAGATTTCGAGGTTTACGGTTTAGGGCTTAGGATGGTGCTTGAGCAACAGCCGGGGCCCCTAGAGGTGTAGGCTCGTCCGTGGCTTGCTCTTTATTTACGCGCGTTACCGTCCATGTGCTGCGCGCTGTTCTGTGTGCACAGCGGCTAGTAGTTAGTAGTAGTAGTAGTAGTAGTAGTAGTAGTAGTAGTAGTAGTAGTAGTAGTAGTAGTAGTAGTAGCAGTAGTAGTTGCAGTAGTTGCAGTAGTTGCAGTAGTTGCATTAGTAGTAGTAGTAGTAGTAGTAGTAGTAGTAGTAGTAGTAGTAGTAGTAGTAGTAGTAATAGTAGTAGTAGTAGTGGTCGTGGTAGTGGTCGTGGTAGTGGTCGTGGTCGTGGTAGTAGTAGTTGCAGTAGCAGCAGCAGTAGCAGCAGCAGCAGCAGCAGTAGCAGCAGCAGTAGCAGTAGCAGTAGTAGCAGCAGCAGCAGCCGCAGCCGCTGCAGCAATAGTAGTTGCAGCTGGCCTGCAGCAGCACGGCATCTACGGCGACCGAGTTTGTTCAGGGGGGAAATGCGCGGGACGAGACAGAGAGAAAGAGAGAGACAAAAAAGGCAGAGAAAGCGAGCAAACAGAATCATCGAAGGTGCGAAGCACCGTGAGCTCTGTGCTGCCTGAAGTAAAGATGGTCTAAAGAACGTAAGAGTCACATGAAGAGAACGAACACAACTGTGACAGAAAATCAACACTGCAGTGGGAGTCGTGTCTGCAGTAGTAGCAATCGGCCATGGAAGCACATCCGACTACTGCTGCTACTGCTGCCGCCACTACTGTGACACAATTGTTACTGGCCCTCGTGCTTGCCAGCACAACGACGATAGCATGAAAGTCGTGATGGCACCCAAGCCAACAAAAAATACTGATTGTACTGCTTAGCATGTACTAGCTACGAGGAGCTCTGTCAAGTGATCCAGAGAAATTGCATAGCACGTGGGGGTTTCCGAAAATGGGGTACCCTAATATAGTACCCTAAATCCCCAAAGGTACCCCTAATTTGCAGAAACTCCCACGTGAACTAAAATCCACCTCGCCTTCGGCGCAACGACAATCGGTTGCCGCCTGAGAACCGCTCTCCTGCAGCAGGCTCTTGCAGCCGTGGTCTGAGGTTTGGAGTTTTAAGACGTTTTGCTTAACTACACTGAACTCCGACCCTTGGCAAAAATTGTTATTTTAGCTGTTTCTTCGGGTCATAAGAACCAAAGCTTAAAATTGCTATTTCTAAGTGCCCCTAAGTTAAATGGGCACCTTAGTTTAAGCTTCATGCGGCACAGCAACGTCGAGCAAAACGGACCCTGGAACCCACGCCCTTCGCAAAAACACGCGGGTTACTTTAGCTTCCTAGCCTCAGGGCGGGAACTTCACCATAATCTCATCGCCAGACCCCTACAATCTCAAGATTATATACTAGTTTTGAAAACATTGATTGCAGTAGCGGTATTCGTTCTCGCAGCAAAAGTCACCGCTGTCATCGCAATCGAGAAACCAAGCTTAAAAGAAAGGATCATACTACTACTGTAGTAGAAACAATCACTTGCATGAATATACCAAGCTCTAGAGCGAGGCCTTGCTAAAGAGCTTGAGTTTAAGGCAAGACCCCAAAGAGATCTTTGATCGTATTCTCCGCAAAACGCCACCCCCTTCAACAAAAAAGAGTCTTTGAATCATGGTCAGAATAAGAGTGATAATGATTGATACTAAGAGTATACTGAAAGAATGAAACGAAGTATAAAGAACAACAACGTATTTACAAGTTCAACTTAGCGAAGCACCGGTGGTCAGCCTGACTATCAGCATGTGATGTGTCATGTTTGAACTAGTAGAATCCGCATTACGGGGGGCACTAATCTGGCAACCTTACACTAGACCCCCAGACGACCCCCAAACTCCGGAGGTTTAGGGTTTACCTTAACCCCAAATAACCTACCTTTTTATGGACTTATATAAGGAAATCATAAAAAGGAGCCCTAAAAACGTAGGTTTCTTAGGGTCCAGGTTTAGGCTTTGAACCAAGTTAAACCCCCACCCCGGAACCCTGAACCCAGCCTGCTGTGCCTCTGTCTCCTGGTTTAATCCGCACCTAGGCTGGCAGTTCAGAAGGGTGCCTACGTGACTGGACCGGGGGGAAGTACTGCTCTGGCTCGTGTCAAAGCTTTATCAAAACTATTCAGATCAACTTCATACAAATCTGCGCACCATTGGGCGCAGTCAAGTTGCCAGGGAAGTGAGAAGGAAAGTGTCATGTCAGCTGAGGGTTCAAAATCGACTCTTCAGTACATCCGATGGCAAATTTGGCCCTGACCGTGCGTCCTTATGCAAGCAAGCCCGTGAGAGATTCTTGGCTAATGCTGTCTAGCAATAGCTCCGCAACTGTTTTTACAAGCCCAAACCCTAAACTTAACCTAAACCGATGCAAATCAAAATCTGCAAAGCAAAACACAGAGATGTGAATCGTGCAGTTCATGGGAGGGTAGGGGACTATACTTCCTTAAATAAGCCTTATTAGATCCTTACGAACTACGGGAATTAAGGCCCCCTACCCCTCCCTATCAACGGTGGAAACCAGGGTCAAGTCATCCCAGGCACGGAGTGCACACGCTGGCGCCGGTGTTGACCATGTCGGTTCCCTTCGGACATTTCTTGCAAGCCTCCCACACGGCTGGCGTTGCGAATCTAGGATTGCAGGCCCAAAGCCGAGCCAATAACTCGAAACCCAAAGCCCCAAACCCTGAAATCAACATCTGCTTAACAGGAAGCCTCGAAAACTCTTCAGGGTACCGGAGCCACTGCCTCGGCTTTAGTTGCTCCCCGTCCTGAATTACAAGCCCCAGCAAACGGCGGGAACCCTAAACCCTGAACCCTCTTTCGGACTTGGGTTTGGGCTGTGCTGCCCTTCTTACAAACTTGTTACTAGGTCCTCCGTCCTCCGACCCCTGGACACCTATGACGCCCTACAAAAGCCGTACAAACCCCTAGCAGGGTTCCACGAAGACTAACAGGAAGATGCGAAACCGGAGTTCACACAAAACAGTAAATTCTAAACCTAAACCCTCAACCTCTTCATAGAACCCCCTTTAAAGGAACCCTAAACCCTAAACCCCAACAGCTCACTGCCCCGACGTGTCCCAGCAGACCTCCAGCCCCAACTCATCCGAGTAGAAGCCTGGTCAAAGCTTCAGAGTCCAGGACTTTAGGGCTTAGGGTTCCTCTAAAGAGATCCATGAAGGTAGGCTTTATAGAGTTTAATAGGGGTTTCGGGCTTGGGTTGGTTGGTTGGGTTGGGGTTTAGGGTTTGGGGCTTAGGGTTTACGGCTTTTCGGCTGTAACCCTTCACCCTAAACCCTCAACCGTTACCGGATCTAGGGTGTAAGGTGCTCGCGTCAGCCGTTAGCGGGTAAACTACCTTTCCTAGCTTAGCTTGCCATTACGTACTGAGTTTAGTGGTGTCACGGATTGTTGCTTCACCAAGTTCTTACCTGAGACCGTCTTGCAGACGAGGCGAAAAGCCAATCCGATTGCCTGACTCTGAGGCTGCACAAGGCGACGAAGCGGCTCCATCCTAGCAATTTGAGGGCTCGCTGGACTCGAGCTTGCATTGGTTTCTGGTGGAGGGGGGTGAGAGTGCATGACTCCAGGATGTTTCTGGATGATATTTGGAAGCCTTGCCAAGTCAATGTTCATTGATTGCGTATTAAATAGCCGCAAACTCATGAGCTTGAGCTCCAGCATACGGCCAGGCAAGCTTGGCGGATCGCCTTCGCCGGCTTGCGAGGAGGCACTTTGCTCCAGACCTGCGGTAGCACTGCTGACTCTGTAACAAGACCCAGCAAGCCCCAAACTCTTGCATCTGCGCGGCGCTCAGGGTCTTAGGTGCTTTGACGCGCTTCTGGCTCTCAAACTGACTCAGGAGAGGTGCATGCATGTTCTAGGTTTAGGCTGTCTTGGGGCAAAATCTTCATCGGTTTTAGGAGGTGTTTGGGGAAGAAGAGGTTTCGGGGTATGGGGAGATGATTTCGGCGTGGGGCAGTCGGGGAACCCTTGCATTCTAAACCCTGAAGTTTGGGTGCTTAGGGTTTACCCCGTCGTAAACCCTCCCTCCTGTGGTTCATGGTTTGTTCCCGGTTTAGAGCTAAGCTTTAAGGGTTTCCCCGTGGTTCCCCTGTGGTTCGTGGTAGGTTTCGGGTTAGCGGGCTTCGTTCACCACGCTGTTTCAGGGAACTCCACTTTCGTGAAACACATTCCAAAAAAGATGGCTGCCATGTTCAAGCCGACTCTACCTCAGGGCGGGCCATGACCGATGCCTTACGCTCAGGTGCGGCAGCTTCCGGCACTTCCCTACACCACACAGCGCTGAACGCATCATGCTTGGCAAGCGGATCCTCGCAGTGTGCACAACTGAAAAGGCGCAGAAACGCGGTTCACCGAGGGTCCCATAGAGCGATCAGGGTTGGAGATTAGGGGAGGTTTCAGCGTGTTTGTCTAGCTTCATACATGTTGTGAAAGAACTTGGGTGCATCGGTGCGGCCGCGCGCCGTCAGCGGTCGGACGCGTGCGCGTGCGGTCAGGTCGCTGCATCGGTGAGGGCGCGCACGGATCGGGGGTGCGCCGATACGTCGATTGAGGCCTTGGAAAGATAAATCGGTGTATCGGTGCGAGCGGGCTGATTGGCGGTTAAAACAGTGAGCAGGAGTCCTTGATGCCCACGCCCTCCACCCCCCTCCCCCACCCACACCCACCACCCACCACAACCCATCCCTCCTCGCCCACACCCACCCTCCGACCCACCCACTCTGCCTCGCTTACTTTCTTTTAATACTTCAAGACCTCGAGACATGCAAACTGACCTCAAAGAAGATCGTCCCATGGCAGAGGTTGCCTAGCTTCTATCATGAGAATGATCGCGATTGCGATGGCGTTCATCATGGCTTGGAGTCTCGAGGTGCAGAGAGGCTTCCGGAGTGGACGTTTGGGAGATTTTTGGGGCTTTAGCTTTAGGGTATTTTTGGGGTTTCGGAAATTTTCGGAAGTTAGGAGACATTTAGGGCTGACGGCTTGGGGCTTAGGAGTTTTGAACTGCCTCCGGCTCAAAGTTGGCTCAGGAGACTTTCACGCATTTTGTGGGCTTAGGCTGGCGGGGTTCATACAGGTTATAGGCTGTAAATAGGTGTTTGGGCAAACAGGAGGTTGGGGTCTCATGCGCTTAAGATCGCCTGAGAGTTTTTGTGGGAACATGATTTTGGTGTAGGGCAGCTTGGGATCCTAGCCAAACACTGCAGCCTAAATCCTAAGCCCTGCATCCTAAGCCTTAAAATTCCCAATCCTAAATCCTTGAGCGCGCCTTCACCCAGTGCTCTTCCCACCAGGGGTCGCCCTGCCGCAAGCGGGGAGGGGGGCTGGAGGGGGGTGGGTGGGGGCACTTTCCAATACTCCTAGATCATGACACGTCCAGAACGAGCACAAACCGGCCTGGTAGTCCGCCATGCGGCACTCGGACTATGTTACAGTGCCTAGCTCTGTAGGTTTCAAAGTTCGAAGGACCGAAAGGGTCTTGAGATTAATGTAACGGTTCTTGAAACATCAGGAAACGCAAGGACAGACATCCTGTGTTAAACAAACCACCGGGCAGTCTAACCATCCACCGAAACTGTTTAGTTTAGGTTTTTCTGGAGGGTGAAAATGCTCCGTACGTGGAACTGTGTTCTGTGCTGCTGTGGTGCTCTGTGCTGCTGTGGTGCTCTATGCTGTTGTGGTGCTGACTCAAGCAAAGCAGGCGCTGATCAGCCAGAAGTCCGACAGTCACGCAAGGCATTTAGTGCCTACTTCACCCAATCACCCAGACGCGAGTTCGGCTCCAGTTGCTTTCCATTTAGCTGGTTAATTACATTTCACTAACCATATCATTTCATTAGGCCGATAGGAAGTGTTAAGTTAAGTAGGATTTTCCTAGCAGAAGACACGCGGCTGACACTTTCCCTTGCTCATTCATCCGGTGCCCAGGGTCTCGTCATTCCCTGATGGTTCAGGTCTCTCGAACAGATAGAGACGTGACGACGCATCCCAACGCACTCAACTCCCCAAAGCACCACTATAGAGATACTGAAAACACTGCCGGTATTCTAGGTCTCCATTATATAAGCGACTGACAAAACCCTGTGTAGGGGGCTTTCCAAGGACTTGGCGCCCCAAAGCTTCACAAACTCAAGGTGAACCTCTCGTTTTTCTTGGGCAAAGTTTGGGCAGCAGCCCGCTGGCACAGGAAAAAATAAAAATGCCGCAGAAAACTCCACAAGCCTGGCCCTGAAGCCGAAAGCCTGGAGACTAGCCAGCCCTGAAACACCCTCAAAAAAAAGAAACAAAGCCAGAGAACGCATGAACCATCAAGGCCGCACACAATCGATGCGATGCAGCGCCCCGGGCTGGGCTGGTAAGCTCCGCCGGGCCCACGGAAGATCTTGTTGTGCCCGGCAGGCAACTTTTAGAACCCCAACCGGAAGTGCTGCAAGCAGCTCACGGGCCCAAGCAGCTTGCCGACTTGCTCAGGGATACCCCTGAGAAAATGTTGCTTCCAAACAACTAAAAAAGTGAAACAGAGGCGGGGGCGCAAGCAACACCAATGACGCAGCTTTGGTGCAAAGCACTCTTCCTCCAGCTTCAGATCGTGTTTCAAAGGCCTTCCGCACAAATTTGCAGCGTTCTCTATTCTACTTCGAATGCAAGACGGATTGCAGTGCAAATCGTTCTGACCGCAATCCTTTTTTACCGCAAAGATTGCTAAGGATGCTATGCTGTGCGAGGCATTGCTCGCCGTAGGAGAAAACAAGGCATGCGATGCCGAGCTAACCCCCAAGGCGTGGAGGGTGGGTGAAAATTCTGTTGCATGCGATGCAATGCGTGAGAAAGCTAGTTGTGAGTGTCTTGTGCCGAAAGGCGGTGCGAAGCAACAGTTACATTCGACACAAGAAACAGAAAACACAGTTGATACAAAAAACAAACTCACAACTAGCGTTCTCTATTCTACTTCGAATGCAAGACGGATTGCAGTGCAAAGCGTTCTGACCGCAATCCTTTTTTACCGCAGAGATTGCTAAGGATGCTATGCTGTGCGAGGCATTGCTCGCCGTAGGAGAAAACAAGGCATGCGATGCCGAGCTAACCCCGACTTCAGGTGCATCCTTTATTTGGTTATGTTTTCAATCCATGCGCACCAACAAAGCATGAAGCACATGTACATGACTGCAACACAACTGCACTCACGGACAGAAGCACTCGCACTGCACTGTTTCTTTTTAGAGCGAGGGGTGCAGACTGGTAATGATTCCGGCTCCACATTCGTGGCCGATGTTCAGAAAATGGCAAAGCTGAGATTATCCCGCATCGAGATTTCCGGCATGTTCCCGCAAGTGAAAACATCCTGCAAGTGAAAGGCAGATGATGCCACTCCCCCACACCAGAAGGGCGGGCGGGTGGGACAAAAATTTTCTCACGCCTGCAAGCAAAACTGCGAGTACCAAGACAAGCATGGTAAAGCACTCGTGAGAAAATCAGAAAGTCATGCGATATACTCCAGCAAGGCATGACAGAAAAGTGCGCATGAAAAATTGTAAACAATTTTTCCAAACATGAGAACAATCAAATAAGAAAACATCCCCCTTCGGGAGAGTTTGTTCTTATTTGGTTATGTTTTCAATCCAAGCGCACCAACAAAGCATGAAGCACATGTACATGACTGCAACACAACTGCACTCACGGACAGAAGCACTCGCACTGCACTGTTTCTTTTTAGAGTGAGGGGTGCAGACTGGTAACGATTCCGGCTCCACATTCGTGGCCGATGTTCAGAAAATGGCAAAGCTGAGATTATCCCGCATCGAGATTTCCGGCATGTTCTCGCAAGTGAAAACATCCTGCAAGTGAAAGGCAGATGATGCCACTCCCCATTCAAGATCAGATGCCGCTAGAACAACAGCTCTTCGCCTGGAATCCAACGGACTCTGAAGCTAGTGGGAAGCTTGTCAAGCACAAAGCGTGAAGGATCGTCGGAGGGGTTCGCAGACGACTCCACTCTCTCGAACCATACACTGATTCCTTTCTCATCCTCAAGCATGCTGAGCTTGTTGAGCTGCGATGCCACCACCGGGGATTCGGAAGCACACTTGATGAGAGCCGCGAGGGCGGCTTCATTGTCGCAATAGCAACTGAGGTTGCAGTCACTCAACGAATTGCAAAGTTGCACCACACCCTGCACTGCGGCACAAGCCTCCAACTCGTAGATCAGACCTTGCTTGCCTTCTTTGCTTATGGCTTCCAAAACGTCCGTGTCGACAGACTCAGAGTACCATCTAAGAAGCAAACCCCCCTCACTATAAAGGATGCCCCCGAGACCTGCTGGCACATCCGCTTCATAGGAAGCGTCTGTGAACCAGTGGTAGGTGGGGCGATCGCAGGCTTTGATCAACCTTGCATCCCCGTGCAAAACACGATCTTTCAAGAAAAGTAGGGCCTCAGTCAAGGAATCGTCAAGAACCACAAAACCCGAGAGTTTCATCGCTTTTGAGATGGCTCGCATGCGTTGGGCCGCACCACGACCAAACACCTGCGACTCGGCGAACTGCAGGCGGCCCCGTAAGCACTCAAGTTCCTTGGCATGCGCTCCACCTTGCTGCACAATGGATTCGATGGAGGCAACGAGCTCGCGTTTCCTGGCTTCGGTGTTTTGCACCCTAAGCAGACCCAAGTGGATCTCGTCTAAGCAAAACTCTACGCCTAAGGCTTTTGCCACACTTTTGAACCCGGCGTCCTTTTCGTCGGACGTTTCCCAGCCAATTAAGGAAAAGTACGACCGCAACACAAGATCAAGGTGACTCTTTTCCTCAGGCGTGGCCACTACCACATAATCGTCAAAGAAGACAGACCAGTGGATGTGCAGCAGGGCTTGTCCCACAGCCCAGATCGCTCCAGATGAACGACAAAAGCCTTGTACTGAGGGCTTTGCGCCGAAAGGTAAGACCTGGCTCTGGTAGAGCTCAGGCTCACCCGTATCCGGGTTAAGCACACATATATATGCATCCCCCAAAGCACGCACAGACAAAGGAAGTTGCTTATAGGCTTTTCGCAGATCGATTGTACGGAGGAGCAGGCGTGCGTCCTTACCCGACTTCCGTAGCGACCTGCATCGTTTCAGGATCCCGGCCACAACGATGTTCACGGAATGCGGGTCAATGGTTTCCGCACACGTGCACGACAAGTTGGCCAAGCTTTTTTTTTGACTGCGCAGCGTCCTGAAGGTCGCCTGGCGTAAGCCTACGTGTGTCACACGGCAGCTCTAGGCTGCAAGCTTTGCGCCCCGTGCCGTAGCACCTAGCAAGCACAAAAAAGCGCCCCGCGCCGAAGCACTAAGCGAGCACTGATTTCACGACTTCAGTCCGAAATCAAATGCAAAGTTGGCCAAGCTCTCTGCGAAGTCGTCGATAGGTCATATCTTTGCTGTCACACCGGCGGTCGTCGTCGTCACGCCCTGCCTGACGCCAAAGCGGCGAGTAACGATGGCAGTCTCCGGCAAATCGCAAGAGTAAAGGGACCGATCAGCCATCCTTTATCCCTTTCCTCCAAGGTAAGGCGATACACTTCCGCGGTTATTTCAGGATCCTTGCAAGCGCGGGTAGCCTCCCAGATTGCACGTTGATTCGCCGGGGTGGCGATCCTGACGTCCTCAATGCTAAGATATGCCACTGTGGCTTTCTTCGGCAAGACAGACGAAGAAGGGATCTCGCCAAGAAGGTCGAAACCGTTCTGTATATCTCGTACCAAGTTCACATCAGCATGCCCGGCAGCCTTGACCATCTCCCCGAAGAGCTTCATGGGTTTTCCAGCAAGGATCTTTTTGCAATGTGCGGGTCCATCAAAACTCTCGTCAAGATCTTTCCTAAGCATCCACTTGCGAAGTTCAGCCGCTCGTTCCCTCGCTACACTGACCGAGCTGCGCTCACATAAGCGATCAATACATGCTGACATGCCGGCTGGCACGCCTTGATCCAATGATCGCGGGTGCTTCGCTTTGCAGGCTTGCTCGACGAACTCCAAAGGCGACCACGGTATGCCAAAAAGCAGTTCAAGCTCTGATTTGGCGCATGGTTTCGCACTGGCTACATTTAGGGGAGAGGTTGCCGGCTGGCATTGGGGAGCCAGGGAGTCGGGACTACCTGAAACCAAGGTTGCCGGCTGGCATTGGGGAACCAGGGAGTCGGGACTACCTGAAACCACACCATCAACGACCGCAGGCAAGGCAGATGCCGGCTGGCACGGGGAGGCAGAGGAATCGGGACTACTTAAAACCACGGGACTACTTAAAACCTCACCTTTAGCTGGCTCCGAGGCAGGCGCCAAACCCCGTGGAACTACAGGGCTGGCTCGGAGACACTTGGATCCTGGCGGCAAAGATGCAAGAAAAGGTTGGCAGAAGACAGTGTTTGGAACCGCCCACGCCGACACTAGCTTGGTCTTTGAGGTGCACGGCAGCTGATCGGCTGGGCCTGCCAACTTGACTGTGCGGGCAAACTCGGGAACCAGTGGAGGGATCTTGCGACCCGAGGGTTGCGTCGCAGTAGCAACACGAGCGCCCAGGGAGAGCGACAGGGTGGCATTTGCAAAAGAGCACGCCGGGGCGCGCGCACCGCACGCAACGAGCTGATCCACAAGTGCCTGGGCAAAAGTCTTGCACAGTAGCGGAGGAAGACCGCCATCCTTCATGCGATTTTGTGCAGGGGATCGCCACGGTTCATGATCGTGTCCGCCATCACAAGTTACACCGAGCTTTTGCAAGTAGGGAACCGTGTGCAAAAGGCGAGTGGCCTTTCTCCGGTAGGAGCCAAACATGCATTGGTGCAAAGAAGTGGAGAGGAAAGGCGTAGACTGACAGGAGCGAAGTGACGCACTGAGCCACATAATGGATCTACTCGGGTGAGCAATGGAGCAAAAGACCCCATGGCTCCAACAGATGTGCCAAACTTCGGCGCACAAGGCAAAAAGTGCGTTGGCGCCCTGGACTAACTCTAGGTCAGTACCTTGCAGACCAGGCACACCTTCAGGGTGCGTTGCATTGCGAAGCCCGCCCGAACGCGGGCCCTGCAAACCACCGCAGCTTGTGGTGACAGGTGGGGACAAGTGGCAGGCAACAACGTGAGGCTGTTGAAGAAGGTCAAGGAGAATGGCCCGCGATCCTGGCTTCGTGAGGTCCAGGGAGACAACAGGGCACTTGCAACCACGCTGCGCGTGACGGTCAAAACCGACACTTAGCTTCATGCCCAATTGCCGAAGTGAGGCACAGAGGCCCCCCGTACCGCAGAAAACATCAAGGAACATGAGACTATCAAGGGGCACTCCTTTGACTTTGGCAGTAACCTTAGAAAGCAAGGGTTCTAAAGCTCCGGCAGGCGGTGGCACATACGCCAACGGGGGGTTGACGGTAGACACAGAAACCGAAGGCCTAAACCCAAGGGATTTAAGGTGCTCATAGTCAAGGCTGGGCAGCTGAGTAGCATCGCCGCCCGAGAACAAGATGAGGACCATCCGATCACCCGTCCATGGCATTGTGCAACGCAAGCGCTTGCGGGCATAGAGGGCTGCAGCAACATCATGCAAGTCGCCGGGAACCATGGACCCATTGACAGGCAGCACATGGCTGCCCGACTCGGATTGAACCCAAATGTGCCCACCTGAAAAGGTGGTGACCGGCAGCACTAGGTTGTCAGCATCATCGTTGTTCACATCCCGGTGAACTTCAGTCTTAACGTTGAGGTTCAAAGCAATGGAGCAAAAAGTGAAATCAGAAAGTTCGGGCTCGCCTTGTGTCATGGCCCAGGCGATGGCCAAACTGACTGATTGGGGGAAGGAGCGGCAGGTGTTCGTGAGGCCAACGACGCCCCCATGCCGGAAAACACCCGCTACAAAGGATTTACCAGAAATCGAACCGAAGCGTTCGTCCACCTTGGAAGGCAACAAACTAAAAGGGCGCTCAATACAAGTTGCTGTCACAGGTTCACCAGACGACAGAACGTTTTGAGCAAATTGCTCTGCCGGATGCAAAGAGGCATGCACTTGCCGCTCAGCGGGCAAGGGAAAAACTCGCTCATCGATCACAACACTAGGAATTCGATCAAGCACTGACGAGGCTGGCTTGGGACGTTCCACCGGGCCAACCGGGTCGATCTGTGCCGGCATGCAAACATGGTTTGCCGCATGAGGCGGGGCCGAAGGGCTTAGCACTTCATCAAGCAAAGAATCGGCCTCAGCAGCGGCAGCCTCCAGTCACTCATTGACTTTGTAAGTCGGACACTGAAGAAGGGAATGGGGTTGCTCGCAGAACATACAAATATGCAAGCCTCGTTTGCAGCTCTCACCGGCCTTCGCAAACTTGCATCCAGCCTGCATGTTGAAATTCCAGCACAGACGCTTCTTAGTCTTGCTACAGTTGTGCTTCAAGCGCGAGTCGGCCAACGCCTCAGGACACTTCCCTTTGCCAGCACCTTTATTGGGACGGTGAGGCAATTTCGCCTTGCCGTCGGCATCACGCTTGGTGCCCTTGTCACCTTTTCCATCGCCTGTCCACTTAGCCCCAGGGAGTGGAGCCAGATGCATCATGATTTTTGGATCATATTGAAGCTTGTCCAAGGCGGCATCCATCGGAAGGTTTCCTGCATCGTCCTTCTTTAAAGAGGTCAAGAGCTCACTCATGCGAACCCACGCCGCCTTGTCGCACCTGAGCAGCTGCTCCATCGAAACCTTGGCATAATAAGGAGGCGGCTGTTCCGACAGCTTGGAAAGCAAATGCCTGTGCCACATGTCCATGTTGGCAAAAGTGCAGAGCTGCAAAAGATCACAGGACAGCGCCCTGCGACACAGGGCTTCAGAGAGCTGCAATTCGTTCTGAATGCCACACTTGTCCTTGTGGGCTTTGTCGCGGATACTCATGCGCGAGCCCTCATCTAAGATTGTGTCCGGCGGGTCCCTGCTGAGCTTGTGTGAGCGCAAAATAATTATTTTGTGAAACAATTGCTCCAAAAATGCATTTCCAAAATGCCCCCCCGGCCCCGGGACCCTGTCCAGAAATGCTCCGAAAATGTCTCCCGAATTATGAAATAATTGCCTTCAAAATTGCCCCAAAATTGTCCTATCACAACTAATATACAAATTTATAGCAATTCATAGTGTAAAATGCACAAATTCATGGCTGCCATAAATGCTGCTGGCAAAAAGGCCAAAAATGCTGAGCAAATGCCTTCTTCGGAGATAAAGGTTCTTAAGAGAATTAGTTATGTACAATATATACGAAAGAAATGAAGGAACGATGGAAAGAATGAATGGTTGAGAATTGTGAGCTTATAAACATCTAAACCAATAAACATACACATATATAGACAAACATATAGATAAACAGGCCCTGATAGTGGCAGATAGATAGACACATCTGTGTACATATATGTGACTCTTTGTGTTTACTCCCCCAAGATCAGGAATACATCGACACGCTGGGTATACGTGTCAAGAAACAAATAGACCAGCAGGCCAGTCACGGGGACAAATTTGGTAATGAATATATAAGTTGCCGAAGATTCCTGCGTTGTGTCATCGTGTCCGGGTTTCTCGGTTTCTCGATGCCACAGAAAAAGCATCGGTCGTGATTGCTACCATTCCTCATTTGACATCCAGTCCTAGTCAGGTCCTGGTCCTAGTCGGACCTCGTCATATTCTCCTGAGATTTAACCACTGACCTCATGACCTAAGGACCTGTGCCACCAACTGTTGAGCCTTATTAAAATTATTAAAAGCCCAAAGCATGGACGATGGACAATATTACAACTCACCTCACGATTCCAAGGGCTCTGTTTGCAATACACATGCACACACTGGCAGATTGAAAACTTGTTGCATATACAATCCAATAAAAATTTTCAATCACTTGAACCGATCCTCCGAACGTGTTTTGGCACTCGTCGCACACCGGTCGGTCACCGAAGTGTTTGTCTGCACATGTGCAGCGCATTTCCACCAGCGAAGCTCCACCCCGAGGTGTCTTGGTCTTGATCTCTCTGTGCGGGGTGCTAAAAATCCATACTGTTGTATGGTTATCCCAGAGGGATGTTGCACGCAACAGGCAGCTCGACATGTCTACCAACCTGATGCTATATTGAATATTTAACGGGACAGGTACTAATAACTAATACACTTTACTTTACTAGACTTACTAGACCCTAGACTCTGCTGTTACTACGTACAGAGCCTGAGCAGAATTGTGATGTCGTCGTCGCTACTGATGCCCAGGGACTAATTACTCCGAAGTCGTATTTCCCATGTCAGCTAGCTAGCAGCTAGCAGCTACCAACACAGGATTCGACATTCAGAACCTGCGAAACTTGCAACCCACGGTCATCTACTAACTTACTAACCTGTTAGTCTATCTGGTAAGACTCTATCTCACAGTGTTCATAATGGCCTTCTGACCCATGCACTGACATTGTCTTGCAACTGTCACAAACGATTCTGGTGAGCTGCTCACGATGTCACAATGCAACACCCACACGGCAAGTCCGTGCTGGTTGCCGCCAGTGCACACCTTCTAAACACGCCTGCATGCAATCACGCCGTATGGATGACCTTCAGGATGGACAGTTCTTGCAACACAATTCCCTCGGGTTTGCAAACACAAGCGCCAAGCCTCCACACAAGCACATTTCCCGTGTTTTTTTGGGGGCCGGGAACAGCTTTCAAGAAGGCTGAGTGCGTTGGAGAAAGCCTATGCAAACACTACTGGCCACCAGTGTGTTCAGAAGTTGTGTTGTGTTCGATTTTTGCCGAGGAACTATACAATAGTATAGTAAGTATGGGTACACAATGGGCCAATAGGGCCCCAGTAATATTGAATAGAGTATAGAGTGGAATGGAATTGACTTGACTAGAATGACAAAAATAGACTAGTAACTAGAAGCAGCTTCGAACTTTGGATGGTCAACGGTGTTCCACTGGATACACAAAGACTTCCGGCTGGGCTCATGCAACGACTGAGCTACTGAGTAGCTACTGCTGTCAATTATGGGCTCTCGGATCAGAAGGGCACTGACTCTACACAATACTCAACAGGCTGATGCGACGTGCACTGGCGTCTCTGTACGGTCCAGATCTGGCCATCAGCCGATCATCTGGCGTGCTGCTTGCAGCAGAGCCGGTGAAAGTAGCTCTTCGCTGACTTGCTCACCTGCTACCTGGGATAGCACACTCCTGATGATTTCGCGACCTTTCTCGCCACTCTGTTGCAGGCCATAATGCAACAATGAGTCTGCACACAGGGCTTTCCCGAACCTGACACGATCATTACTCTCCTGCATGAAGCTATTCAGCTCCTTCTTCTCAGCATCGCTCAAGTCGTATGCACCGACGCTTTGATACTTCTCGATGGCAGCCGCAAAGTCACCGACCACCTGCGCACGAGCACCATGTACAATCTACACTATCTACACTACACCCCACCTCACCTTTTTTCTCTCTTACAATCTAATAATCTAGTAAAGAGATGAGCAGGCAAACATACACACAGACATAGACCATCACACCCTGGCCACCACATCTGCCTGTGGCTAGTTGCTAACCGTAACCCTTGTGGTGTAGCGTGTGGCTTGACAAATGACCGAGGATCGAGGCATGTGTCCTGCATCATGTTAGTGTTTCAATTTGTTGCGAGAATCTACGGAGCAAGCGTTAAATTTGAAACCATTAAAACAAAGGCCCATTGTAATTTGCTTCAAGTTCCTGGGACTTCTGTCGTCATTCCTTCTGCAGCACTTTAATCGGCATCAGTAAGCAAGCCGACATGGCAACATCGGTAAAACTACATTCTACAGACGTGAACCTGAGAACATGAAGCTGACAAAGCATTTACAAACTGATCACAGCTAGACTCGACTTACACTGTGCGAACGTTTCACTCGGTCTTAGGCAAAAAGCATAATGATGTTACTGACTGAGCACGGCTAGCGGCTAGGACCGGCTAGGACTAGGACGACCACTACCGGCTAGGGGCCATTAGGGCTCGGCTAGTGGCTAAGATATTGAAACTAGGACTAGGATGACTAGGACCATGGTGCACAACCACACATGTCACGGCCCAACTACAACTACAATCTACGAAACACAAAGCCCCGACAACTCCGTTCAGACTGTCATCAATTTCGGAAACCAGGAACCTTGTGCAGCTCGTTCACCTCCCGAGTGATCATGGCACCTTTGAGCTGGGCAATCGTCATATCCGCGACCCGAGTAGTGCTTTTGTAGTCGCTCAGGTCGGCGATCTTCCCCTTCCAGGAAGACTTGGGGAGCTCCAAGTCATGGGTCTGCTCTGACAGCTGTTCACATCTTTTCTCGATGTTGGTCTTGAACTCATTGAAATGGAGCTCCTGCATGTCCTTCCACAGGATCTTGTAGGTCTCCAAGTCATTGCTGAAGATGCCCTCGAAGCTGTGGTTCGCCACCCAATCGTCCTTGTCCACCTCAAGAACCCCCTCGACATCCAAGTCAAGGAGGCTTGGAAGCTCCCTGATTGCAACCATCAGCGCATTCCGGGCATGCAAGAAAGCAAAGAGCTTGGCCTTCTTGGAACCAACAGCTGCACGCCTCTCAGCATCATTTCCCAATGACTCAAGACCTGTTGCTTGCCTTCTGACCTCCAATCCATGCTTCAGCACACGCAGCTGCTTGTCAAAGAAGCTTGCCCGAACCTGGTCTGGGTTTTGCTCACGCACAAGCTTCAGCACCTTGGAGTCTGGTGGCTTGGCCAAGCAGAAGTTCGGCTTTGCAGCAAAACACTGTCACTAACTCACAGCACAAACTCGCATCACCTCTAGATTCTAGCATATTCTAGCCGCCTACTGCACTCAAGCTGACTCGGAATTTCTGGAGGACACGACTGACCCTGTGATTGTTGAAAAGGCCTTGAGCTTGAGGTGGCGCATCATGTTGGGAAGCGCTCGGTCGAGATCATCGATCAACCGAGGGGGCTGGCTGGACCCATCAGACTCAAGGATTTCCTTCAGGGATGACTTCGCCACCTCCAGCATGCAGCTCTCCAGAGCATTTGTTGCACCAGCGCGCATTGCTGTCCGAAGCTCGGGCAACTTCTGCACAGCAAAGCCTAGGGCAGCCGAAACATCCTGGGGCGAGGATGTCGAAGTGAGATTCTCGAGCCCATCGAAGGCCTCCTTGCAAACGGGCTCGGCAACCTTGCTCGAGCCGGCTTTTTTGAGCATCTCGTCGTGCTTCTCCTGCCAAAAGGGTTTGGTGACGATCTTGTTGGCCGTCTGCAGCATGGAATCCTTGCCCTTGTAGCTGCGCACCGAGCCAACATGCCCGGCATTGCTTCCATGATATCCAGGCTGCGGGTGCAGCAGTGCCAAGAAGCAGTGAGAGCAAAGCTTCACTGCTTGTAACGAAGTCACCACTCCAACATCCAGATCCTCGAGATTGTCGGTTATGATGTTTTGGTTGAGCTCGGTCAGCAGTTTCGTGAACAGGCTAATGAGAATGTCGCTAGTCTTGGGAGCATCCTGGAGCAGGCCGATCATGCCGTCTCCGAGGAAAGCTTCCCGCAAGCTTTCACCGATGGCCTAACATGAAGGCCAATGGTCCGCATCACCCCAATGAAAATGGTTATGAGTTTTACGAGAAACCCAAAGTCGAGTACTCGAAACTCTTCTTGACACGGGAACAAACTTCAAAGATGGGAACTAGTGGTAGCTTCTAGACTCTAGACTTGAAAGCCGGGCATACAGAAATGATCACGGGCCTACTCAGGCCTACTTGCTCAACTTATACCCTACCAGGTCCTATGAGCCCTATCACTGCAAACCCAAGAAAAGCCTCAGTCCCAAAAGACCTGCCTGCCACTCCTCATCGGCAGCCTCCTTGATCTTTGCCGCATCTTCACCTGTAGCATCTTGCATCTGGGCAAGTACCCTCTTCTTCACCACATCGACCAACGTGCTGTAGTTCAGCTTGTGGTAGTCCACTTCCGGCAGGATGAACTCAGGCTTCACCACAACTTGCTGGTCGTCAGTAGGGAATGAGGGAATGAGTCATCTGCTTCCGCTGATGCCGGAAACCGGATCACACCAAAACAAAATTGCTGCTCAATTGGCCCTTCGGCTCGACGCCCCGGGAGCAAAAACAGAAAAGCAGAAAGAGAGCGAGAACCAAAGAGAGAGCGAGAGAGAGAGAGAGAGAGAGAGAGAGAGAGAGAGAGAGAGAGAGAGAGAGATGAGAGAGAGCGAGAGAGAGAGAGAGAGAGAGAGAGAGAGAGAGAGAGAGAGAGAGAGAGAGAGAGAGAGAGAGCGAGTCCCAGTCCATGCTTGTAGTGTGGTAGACAGATCCGGAGCGACATTTGTTTCGTATTGTGTGTTTAATCAATACTTGAATTATCATGTGGCACAAAACAGCACGTGTAACAATTCGGCACTTGTTTGATACACAGTCATGACATGGAACTTTGACCTCCTTGAAACTGTTGTTTTCAAGTGTATTAGACTTCTACTGTTTCATCATAGACCAAAACTGAATTACCATGCGGCAACAGCATTTCAGACATGTTTGTCGATGCTGTGTACCAATTCCAGCACATCAAAAGCTCATGCTTGGCAAAATCTAATCTCGCAGACAAATCAAATCATTTGCCACTTGTTTGTTGTTGTTTATGTATGCGTTTCTGCAGCTGCAACATGCACAAGCATGCCCTTTAGACTTTAGCAGCCGGAAACCGACAAAAATAATCCCAGCATCCTGCAGTGACAGACTTTTGCACCATATAGGTCCCTATCATGCATTAAAAACATATCACAACACATACTTCGCAGCTAGAAAGCCCTTACTAGCCCGAGCATCCTATAGTCCTAGACTCTAAACACCTGTAAAGTGCATGTATGATCTTCTAGCCCTAGGTCCCGAACCCCGCGTCTTTTCAGGGCCCTGCAGGCAAGCCCGGGGAGAAGGTGAACGAGCTAATGTGCCGTGACGGCGCAGACGACGACGCATGTGCCGTGATGGCGCAGACGACAGCACGAGCGACGAATGTGCCGTGATGGCGCAAGGATGAATTGGGAGAAGATTGAGTAAGAGCATCGTGTTAGAACCCGAAAAGAGGTGAACTATGCCTACCAGCAACCCGGGCCGTACCAGCAACCCCGGCCGTACCAGCGGTACGCCGGCGAAAACGGCGCAGCAGAGCGTGCGTACCACGAACCCGGGTCGTGCCAGCGGTACGCTGCCCAAAACGAAGGTTTGGTCCTGCCTGGGCATTGGCCTGCCCGTTTTGGGGCCGTACCGCTGGTACGACCCGGGTTCGCGGAACGCCACCAGGCAGCTGGTACGGCTGGGTTTTTGGCCTTTTCGTTCCTTCGCCGAACCGTCTCTTGGGAGGGTCTCGGGGAATCCCCGGCGAAAGCCGGTGTAGGCCTGCCTGGCGACAGCAAGCAAGCCACAGCAACGCGCCAGAGCGTGCGTACCAGCAACCCCGGCCGTACCAGCGGTACGCCGGCGAAAACGGCGCAGCAGAGCGTGCGTACCACGAACCCGGGTCGTGCCAGCGGTACGCTGCCCAAAACGAAGGTTTGGTCGTGCCTGGGCATTGGCCTCCCCGTTTTGGGGCCGTACCGCTGGTACGGCCCGGGTTCGCGGAACGCAAGCAGGCAGCTGGTACGGCTGGGTTTTTGGCCTTTTCGTTCCTTCGCCGAACCGTCTCTTGGGAGGGTCTCGGGGAATCCCCGGCGAAAGCCGGTGTAGGCCTGCCTGGCGACAGCAAGCAAGCCACAGCAACGCGCCAGAGCGTGCGTACCAGCAACCCCGGCCGTACCAGCGGTACGCCGGCGAAAACGGCGCAGCAGAGCGTGCGTACCACCAACCCAGGTCGTGCCAGCGGTACGCTGCCCAAAAGCCTGGGCATTGGCCCTCCCCGTTTTGGGGCCGTACCGCTGGTACGGCCCGGGTTCGCGGAACGCCAGCAGGCAGCTGGTACGGCTGGGTTTTTGGCTTTTTCGTTCCTTCGCCGAGCCCTCCGGAGGGTCCCGGGGAATCCCCGGAGACAGCCCTTAATCATTCCCTCTTGGCAACCAGCCTTCTCTCAGCAGCCTGCTGCGGAGCAGCCCCGCGAGAGCAAGCTCATTCCTTGTGCTCCCGTTTATCAGCGACATGACATGCACAGTCATGTTACTCGACACGATACGAAGCACAACTGAAACTTCCCACGTAGTCACCGGACCCGCGAGCCATTAGGGTACGGGTACCCTAATGGCTCGCGGGCCTGCGGGCCAGCCGCCCGGCGAGCCATTAAGGGTTCAGGCGGCGAGCCATTAGGGTACCGTGTACCCTAATGGCTCGCCGCCTGAACCCTTGATGGCTCGCCGGGCTGCCGGCCCGCAGGCCCGCGAGCCATTAGGGTACCCGTACCCTGATGGCTCGCGGGCCCGCCGGCCGCTGATAAACGGGAGCACAAGGAATGAGCTTGCTCTCGCGGGGCTGCTCCGCAGCAGGCTGCTGAGAGAAGGCTGGTTGCCAAGAGGGAATGATTAAGGGCTTTCTCCGGGGATTCCCCGGGACCCTCCCGAGAGACGGCTCGGCGAAGGAACGAAAAGGCCAAAAACCCAGCCGTACCAGCTGCCTGCTGGCGTTCCGCGAACCCGGCCCGTACCAGCAATACAGCCCCAAAACAGGGAGGCCAATGCCCAGGCACGACCAAAGCTTCGTTTTGGGCAGCGTACCGCTGGCACGACCCGGGTTCGTGGTACGCACGCTCTGCTGCGCCGTTTTCGCCGGCGTACCGCTGGTACGGCCGGGGTTGCTGGTACGCACGCTCTGGCGCGTTGCTGTGGCTTGCTTGCTGTCGCCAGGCAGGCCTACACCGGCTTTCGCCGGGGATTCCCCGAGACCCTCCCAAGAGACGGTTCGGCGAAGGAACGAAAAGGCCAAAAACCCAGCCGTACCAGCTGCCTGCTAGCGTTCCGCGAACCCGGGCCGTACCAGCGGTACGGCCCCAAAACGGGGAGGCCAATGCCCAGGCACGACCAAACCTTCGTTTTGGGCAGCGTACCGCAGGCACGACCCGGGTGCGTGGTATGCACGCTCTGCTGCGCCGTTTTCGGCGGCGTACCGCTGGTACGGCCGGGGTTGCTGGTACGCACGCTCTGGCGCGTTGCTGTGGCTTGCTTGCTGTCGCCAGGCAGGCCTACACCGGCTTTCGCCGGGGATTCCCCGAGACCCTCCCAAGAGACGGTTCGGCGAAGGAACGAAAAGGCCAAAAACCCAGCCGTACCAGCTGCCTGGTGGCGTTCCGCGAACCCGGGCCGTACCAGCGGTACGGCCCCAAAACGGGCAGGCCAATGCCCAGGCAGGACCAAACCTTCGTTTTGGGCAGCGTACCGCTGGCACGACCCGGGTTCGTGGTACGCACGCTCTGCTGCGCCGTTTTCGCCGGCGTACCGCTGGTACGGCCGGGGTTGCTGGCTGCGGGTATACGGCCCGGGTTGCTGGTAGGCATAGTTCACCTCTTTTCGGGTTCTAACACGATGCTCTTACTCAATCTTCTCCGAATTGATCCTTGCGCCATCACGGCACATTCGTCGCTCGTGCTGTCGTCTGCGCCATCACGGCACATGCGTCGTCGTCTGCGCCGTCACGGCACATTAGCTCGTTCACCTTCTCCCCGGGCTTGCCTGCAGGGCCCTGAAAAGACGCGGGGTTCGGGACCTAGGGCTAGAAGATCATACATGCACTTTACAGGTGTTTAGAGTCTAGGACTATAGGATGCTCGGGCTAGTAAGGGCTTTCTAGCTGCGAAGTATGTGTTGTGATATGTTTTTAATGCATGATAGGGACCTATATGGTGCAAAAGTCTGTCACTGCAGGATGCTGGGATTATTTTTGTCGGTTTCCGGCTGCTAAAGTCTAAAGGGCATGCTTGTGCATGTTGCAGCTGCAGAAACGCATACATAAACAACAACAAACAAGTGGCAAATGATTTGATTTGTCTGCGAGATTAGATTTTGCCAAGCATGAGCTTTTGATGTGCTGGAATTGGTACACAGTCACAGCATCGACAAACATGTCTGATTGGAATGCTGTTGCCGCATGGTAATTCAAGTTTTGGTCTATGATGAAACAGTAGAAGTCTAATAACCGACTTGAAAACAACAGTTTCAAGGAGGTCAAAGTTCCATGTCATGACTGTGTATCAAACAAGTGCCGAATTGTTACACGTGCTGTTTTGTGCCACATGATAATTCAAGTATTGATTAAACACACAATACGAAACAAATGTCGCTCCGGATCTGTCTCTCCGGAACTGCCTCACTCTCATGTCTCTCTCTCGCTCTCTCTCTCTCTCTCTCTCTCTCTCTCTCTCTCTCTCTCTCTCTCTCTCTCTCTCGCTCTCTCTTTGGTTCTCGCTCTCTTTCTGCTTTTCTGTTTTTGCTCCCGGGGCGTCGAGCCGAAGGGCCAATTGAGCAGCAATTTTGTTTTGGTGTGATCCGGTTTCCGGCATCAGCGGAAGCAGATGACTCATTCCCTCATTCCCTACTGACGACCAGCAAGACAATCAAGGAGATGTAGTACTTCACGTCCAACTTGCGAGGATCTTTTGCAGCAATCAGCATGTGCTCGTCCACTCGTCGCTCGATGAGCTGGGCAGCAATGGAAGTCGGAAGGGTGATGTCCAATTGCATCATACAGTCGACTGCTTTCTGGAGCACGTCTGTGTTCGCTGTGCGAGCATGGTTCGCAAGGAGCGACCCATATTCACAAGCAGCGATGCGGTGTTCCAACAGGACAGCCTCCTTCGGCAGTGGCCTCATCGAGTTCAAGGACTCCAGGAGGCCCTTCGCCTCAGGAGCTCAACAAAAAACATTTGTGAGCAGCAATAAACTGGTTCCGAAGCATGAACAGATCACGCTTTGTAATATCGACAGAACCCCTTTCCGGCCCAGCTTCTGAGTATTAGTTAATGGAGTACAGTGACTACTGACTACTACAGTGACTACAGCAGCAGTCATTAGCCTCATGAGCCCAGTAACTCAGTAGCCATCTCGTCGTTTCAACGAATATTTTTGTTAGCTTACCCACAATGTGCCCCCAGATCAGCATTCAGCCAAGCAGCGGCTTGGACACGCACTCCAAGCTTCTCTCCGGCCAAATGCCGGACGACCGACAAGGACTCCAAGCACCGCTTTCCTCCGCCCAATTTCTCATTGACTTTGCTCATCTCGGGGTCCAGGTCGAGACCCGAATCCTGCCTGCTGATCTGGGCCGTCCTCTTGCGGCTGGCGGAGGGAACCGGGCTTTGCTCAAGATGCCCACGCTGCTCGGATGCTGGAGGCACAAGAGACGGCTTTTTCTTCGCGGCTGCCTTCTTCTTGGGCATAACAACCCTGGACGCGAGGACATTGCCGAGGAAGAGCGAGGGGTCCTCATGCGCTGGGGCCGGCTCATCTTCGTCTGGCTCGTAATCCTCAATCTCCTCGTCCTCCTGCTCGACCACACTGCTCTTGGCGGCATCGTCCGTCTCACGCTTCTGGCAAATGGGTTGGGGTAGGTAAGCCGGCAGCCCTCACAGTAGACTGCTAGCAGTCACTAGCAGCCACTAGTTAGTGGCACACACTAGTTCACTAGTATCTACCTACCAGCCCAGCAGTCTGTAGCACCTTTGTAGCCGGCACCCCTTCTACACTTTAATCTGTTTTGAAATTACACATATGGGATAAGGGCTTATGCTACACTGCTACATTATAACACATCACGACCACATATCGATATATAGAGTAGAGACCGAAACACAAAACTTGTTTGACCGAGCTTTCACATGACAGCCTGGAGCACTCACAGTACTTAATAGGTTGACAGCTGTTTTCATACTCTAGTCACTTATCGGTCGCCCACATCACTTCTTCAGCACTTCAGGGAGAGTAAAGGGAACTGTGTGCCGGCCACAACAGGAGGTTATTGCCATTGCCACAAGTTACACAATTACACCAATCATCTGTTTTATCAGGTAGTACCACTACACTACTTGGAGGGTCGGAGGACTTAGTAACTAGTTATTTTAGAGACTTATAAGTACCATAACCCCAATTAGGATCCCATTTAGGGTACTTATAAGTCTACTTATTAACCACTTACTAAGTCCCCCGACCCTCCAAGTACAATGCCTTGCAACGCCAGCACCAGGGCACACCACAATGGTGGGAAACATCGATGCACTTGCTTGCGTCTCAAACACAAGACTACGCAGCCTTGAAAACCCTTCCTTAGCCATGTTTTTTTCTGCCGGCATCGGCCCTGGTGTCCCACGACATCCGCCCTGGCAGTCCTGCCACGAAGCATTAGTGCTGGTGTTCGGGTCTCGTTTCAAGTCAACTGGTCACTGGTTAAAGGAAATCCAGCGAATTACAAATTTTACTAATTATAACCATTCTAACTGTTAGAATGGTTATAATCGGTTATAATTAGTAAAATTTGTAATTCGCTGGATTTCCTTTAACTATTCGACCTCAAATCAGCAAAGCCAAGAGCCTCGGTTTGGAGCCCAAGAGGTCCCGAAACTGCTCACCCCTCGACAGCTTACAGTTGCCTACAGCTTTCACAAAATCCTCAAGGTCGTTCGGACGATCTTAAGACTTAGGACAGCCTCCAAATTGGAGGATGTATGGCGTATGGCAATGTATGGCCTGTGAGCATAGTTATTTGTTAATGGGTCCCCAACAACACAATTCCTCAAGCAATCCATACCAGGAAATCACACCACGACAGACCCGAAATCCCCCAACCAGGAGCCGTGTCTGTGTACTCCAAATGCAGCAATTTGTGCTCTAAAAACTAGAATCTTGAGATTCAGCCTGAAGTCGAAAGCCACTCCTCCCCATCACACAATAGACTACAGACGAATAGAATACACTTTAAGTGACATCGTCCCGAAATTGAACGACCCTGGCTTCAACCATAAGTAACAGCAAACATGGAACCAATCCCACCCCGAACCGCCCTCCCCCTATCTTCGGGCACTTTCCGGCGTCTCGCCTCTCACGGCCCGTGTGACCATCTGCAGCGGTGTGTTGGTTGGGGTCGAGTTCAGGAGTTCGGGCCTTCGTTGAATGGGTTTAGGTTTAGGTCCCTGTGTGGCTAAGGCTTTGCATCTGTTCTCTCCTAATTATGGGCCCTAATTTTCGATAGCCATCTGCTTTCGATCAAATGCGCATAGCGACATAGAAGAATCCCCGGCCTGTTTGCTTCACTATACTACTGTATCTCCCTTTTCCGGCTGGTCTCTGTTTCAACATTGATACCTTTCCCACTGTCACTAGAACACGAAAGAGGCTGGAGTTCGAGTTGTCGGCCCCTCGAACTGGGCAGGCCTAAGTTGAGAAGATAACAACCCCGAGCACCCCAAAATGTAAAAGAGTCCAAGTGTCGAAGTTGTGTACTGACTAGTGACTAGTGACTGGTGTCTCGCATCAAACAAAAACCCGGGCGAGCCTCAGCGATCAAAAACCCGAAACCTCGAGAATCTTCAGAATTTCAGGACCCTCTGCAGACTCTACTACGGTGCTCTACAATACAACTCACAAAAACAAAAGACTCCTAGGTCCTATACTTGGAGGCCCTTTTGACTTAGTAAGTAGGGTTAGTAAGGTGGGTTATGGGGATAATAATAGGGTTTCTGGGGGATACTAAGTAGACTTACTAAGTCAAAAGGGCCTCCAAGTATAGGACGGGCACGTTACAGCATGCACGCCAGCCCGAACGAGCCTCATGCACAGCTGCTCGGGTTGGTCAACGGTTGGTCCTGCCATTCGAAAGCTGGAACTAAGCATTGATCAGCAATCGACGGAGTCCTCGAACCATGGTAGTTCCTCGAACCACTCTGGTCGCCAAAGTCCTACACCGGGGTTCAAGGACAGAACAAAGTGGTGGGACGAGCAAGAAAATCAACCCTGTCCTGAAAATGGATCCAGAGTCCAACCCAGCAGGCTGCCAGGCCAGGCCACCTAGCGTGGGACGACCCACAAAGCAAAAACACATCTTGCAATGTCTTGGAATGCAGCATCCGCCTCTGTGCCCCATCATCGACAAGCGACCCGGTCCTTGCAACATTGACAATTACTTGGAAAATGTCAACATGCGGACTTTCAACATTCGCTTTTACGAAATGGATCCTGCAAGCGCATGGCGAGTGAGCCCGATTGTTCAAGGTCTCCTGAAGTCCGTGACATGCTCCTTCAGCCACTTTGGCCACGGCCATAATCTACCCAATGCAACGGGAAAACAAGCTAAGATGGAGACCTGTTTATTCTCTGCGTCTTGTTTATAAATGAGATATATGAAAAATCAATCACAAATATATTTGCGAATTGATATTCAAGTGCGACAGGCAGCACTCGGACCCAGTCTTCATTTTAACTCGCAGTGGGAGCTGACAGATCGGTACCTTGCGAGGCCCAACGGCAGGGTTAGGCCACAAAGCACAAGGAGTGAAACTGGAAAAAGGAAAAAGGCGAAAAGCCAATGGGTGAGGAGGGTGGGCGAAAAGCGAACTGGAGCCGAAAAGGCGACTGGAAAAAGAGTTTGGGAAGAGTTCGGCATGAAAGAAGGTTGGAAAACAACCAAGGTTGGAAAAACCAAGTTGTTGAAAACAAGACTTGAGAATAAAAATCCGTCCTCCTTCGGAGGAAGTTCTTCTTATTCTCTGCGTCTTGTTTATAAATGAGATATATGAAAAATCAATCACAAATATATTTGCGAATTGATATTCAAGTGCGACAGGCAGCACTCGGACCCAGTCTTCATTTTAACTCGCAGTGGGAGCTGACAGATCGGTACCTTGCGAGGCCCCCCCTTGAAGAGAACCGCACAGATCGGTCAGCAAGGATTGCACATTGAAGCGCCGCCTGGAAAAGGCGGGAAAACTGTGGTCGCCCCGCGAAGGGGCATCTGCAGGATTGCTTTCACTGCGAACACGCTCGAACCAGATCGCAAGATCACGCTCCTCTTCAGCCTGAAAGAGGCGGGAGAGAAGAGACTCCACAAAAAGGCAATCTAACTGTCCTCGGATGAGAGCCGCCAGTGAAGCTTCGTTGTCAACGAAGAGCACAATGTCGCAGTGGCGTAGGTTAGGGATTAGGGTGGCACCTAAGACCGCGGCAAGGGTTTCTAGCTCGTAGATCAAGGTAAGTTTACCATCAGGGTTGATGATCTCAAGGTCCTTGGAGGTGACTACTTCGCTAAACCAGGCAAGGCACAGACCTTTAAAGTCGTAAACCAAACCACCAAGGCCACCCCCTTGGTCGTCGTAGGAAGCGTCAGTGTACACGTGATACACTTGTCGCAGACTCGAGTCTACACACCTTGGTTTGCCAAGAACCACACGGTCTCTCAAGAAAGTCAAGGAGGCCCTTAAGCTAGCACCAACCACAAGTCTGCCGTGCTTTTGACAGAAGTGCGAAAGGTTGCGCATGTGAAGCGAAGCTGATCGGCCAAAGATTTGACTCTCGGCAAACAGGAGTCGCCCGCGTAGAGAGAGAAGCTCATTTTGGCCAACAAAGCCTCGGGTCAAGACCTCATCGATGGATGAGCAAAGTTCGCGTTTGCGGGCCTCGGTGTTCTGGACTGAGATCAATCCATTCTTAGAATCAGCCAAGGATATTTGCACTCCTAAGACTTTGGCTACTGCATCAAAACCACTGTCTTTCTCGGAGGACGTTTCCCAGGCAACGATCCTGAAAAATGTTGACTGGACTAAGTCAAGATGTTTTTGCTCGTCGGACGAACAGGGTAAGACAAAATCGTCAAAATACAGAGACCATGGCAGGATCAGGCTCCGGACTCCGATCCACCAAAGGCCGAAGGCAGTTCTGTAGAATCCCTGAACGGCCGGCTTGCTGCCGAAGGGCAGCACAACTGTCTGGTATATCTCAATTTCCATGCTGTGAGGGTTAAGCACAGCTATGAAAGAATCATACAAAGCTTCAGTGCTTAAAGGAAGTTGCTTATAGGCTTTTCTAAGGTCTATCGTCCGAAGAACAAGTTGCTCACGCTTGCCAAGTTTCCGGGCCGACCTGATGCGAAGACACAGTGCAGCGACCACAACGTCCACCCCGTGAGGGCAGATCGTCTCGCTAGCACTGTTCGTGAGATTAGCAAGAGATTCCGTGTAATCATCTATTGGTCTCACCTTCTTGATTGACCCCAGCTTGGCATCGGTGGAGGATTGCACTATCCCAAACCTTCTAGTGACTATGGCATCCGGGGGGATGTCCGACTCCTTAAAAGGTCCCTTAAGCCACCCTTTCGCAAGCTCATCTTTCGTAAGCTGGTAAACACTTTCAGCCACCTCACGGTCAAAACCTTCTCTGGCAGAGGTCAGGATGGCTTTCCTGGCAAGGGGAGTGGCTGCACGAACGTCCTCAACGGTGAGCGAGGCAGCGGAAACCTTAGAGGGAAGGACTCCAGACGCGGGTATGGGGCCTAGAAGGTTAAACCCAGTTGAGATGTCCTTGGTCAAGGTTGTGTCCGGGTACTCGGCCTCAGTCAAGAGGGATTTGAAGACTTTCATGGATTTCTTACCAAGAACTGCGGCACAGTGATCGGGCATGTCGGAGGGATCTGCATGGGATGCCGCCTCCTCAGAGGTAAGCATCCACCTCCTCAACGTAGCGGTGCGTTCCCTGGCAAGATCGGCAGGCGACTCCTGGGCGCATCGCACAATGGTCTCCTTTAAAATCTTTGGTACACCATTTTCGATACGCTTGGGGTGTAGGGCTCCGCGAGCCTGTCTGACGAATTCTTCTGGGGTCCACGCGATACCATAAGTTCGCTCCTCGTGCGGGACTGCGGCAAGAGAAGGGCCCTCGACAGGCTTCGAACAGGCATCAAGCAGGGTACCAGGCTTTAAGGAGTCATCCACAGGGGAGGAAGGGGCTAAACCCGAACTATCAGAACCAAGTTTTAGAGTAGCACTGCAGGGACCCCCAGCAGACGGCACAGTGCGAATCAGCTTGGCGGTCTTGGGTAGCCGCTTTAAGGAGGGCTTGCACAAGACTTTATCAGGAATGGCCCAATCCTCCGAGAGTTGCTTCGGGGGCATAGCACAAGAGGGGCCAGTGACAGTGATGATGGACTTGTACTCAGACACCAAAGGCGGGACACGTTTGCCTTTGGGTTGCTTTCCGGAGGCAACCTGAGCGGCTCGTGCCAACGGGAGCCCAAGCTCCTGAAGTTCTGCTGCAGGAAACCGAGCACCCTGGTGTTGCAATTCAACAGCAAAGGCCCTTGCTACCATGGCACAAAGCTGACCAGGGGACGACGACAAAGGCAACACTGGATTTGGTGGTTTGCATCCCCCTCCACACGGAAAGCTAAGGCTTGACAGTGCAGGGAAGTTGTGAATCAGGCGCCGATGCTGACACAGCCCGTCGTGCACGAAGCAAGGACTGTAGTGGGTGGAGATTTGCGGACAGGCACCCCGGAGGTCACGAAGTTTCCAAAGGTTGGAGCTGCACGGGGCATCGAGGCAGCAAAGAAGACCATTGGCACAGCACTCCGTGTAAATGCTTACTGCAAGGTCACTGAAGTTGGAAGGAGGAGACATGTGCACAGCAACAACATTATCCTTCGAAAGGATGTCTCGCAAAAGCGAAATGGGGCCCGAGTGTTTCGGGGATGACGATTGATTGCAAAACCTTGCATGCCGAGGCTGCGCACAGCCGCACACACACCACCTTGCCTGGCAAAGATTTCAAGGAATGCTATGTCGCTTGCGACGAAAACCGTCGGCTCACACTCAAAAGGTATTTGGCCGAGTATTTGGCCGAATCCAAATATGTGATATAAATGATGATATGTGTTTCTCCAATCAAATATGTTTGCGAAGTTAAGAGGTCAACACGGACAGTCACTCGCACGTACACTTCCCTCGGACTGATGTTTTGACTGCTGGGGCGATCGACGTGCGGATGATGTCGACGGATGGGCTAGGCACCCAGTTGGCCTAGGTGAAAACAGGTTCGTGCTACCAGGGCACGGGTCATAGCCAGTTTATGACGA